AAAAAGCCCATGAATTTTGAGTAGACTTTTTTTTACCTCCTGAATCGAGTTGATTTGTTCGTTTGTGAGCTAAAAAGCAGTTAAGCTCGGCAGCAAATCTGGCACGCCCTAGGAGTGAAAACCAAAACATTCTATTGAGGTTCTCGATAAATTTATTTCAATAGATAATGACACATTAATATATGGCAATAATGACAAAACAATTATCTAATTCACAAACAGCAAAGCCACATATACCAATTTACCTCAATAATGACACATTAATTCAGGCAATGGGAATCGGATCTAGGGTTCGGGTTGGCCGGATCTGCAACTGCTAGAGTGAATTTCAGGTGGAAGAAACCGTCAATTGCGTAGACGAAGACAAATCCGTCGTCGAAAATTGGGGTATCAGAGACTATGTTGATGGATATTTGTTCAGGCTGGCCGGAGGTCACGACGAGGTGGCTAGCGGGGGAGAAGGACGGAACTGTGGAGGAGAAGGACGGAACTGTGGAGGCGAAGGGTGACGGGGAGAGAGAGAGAATGGGGAGAAGTGAAGGAGGAGGTGGGCGAGAGACGGCTGACCGGAAGTGAAGGCGGAGTCTGGTGGGGAGAAGATGGTGAGGGTGGTGATGGCTGCGTCGATGATCGAGAAAGTGGAATTGAATTTTCTCAATTTCGTAATTAAGACTTAATGGAGTTTGATGTGCGATTTTTTTTTTATCTCGTTAAATGGGTAGTATAGAAAGTTGGGCTCGTGCAGAGGGTACTTATTTCTATTATTATTTGTATTATTAATTGGGCAAACAAAGGCCCCAATAATTGTGCCCCCTTCGAATTGGGCCCTGGTCTGGGCCCTAGGCCATCGCCCAGGACGCCTTGGGCTAGGGCCGGCCTGGTTACAATGATCACCTTAATGTGTTTCTTCGTATTGTTCATGTTGTGATAACCAAAAAAGTAGAAATTAAAAGTTACATTGCAATGGATATTGGTTGCTCAAATTGGCAATTCAGCTTTTATTTGTTATTTTTATATCGTTTTTTATTTTTATTTTGGGTAAATTTAAAGATACCTCTTTATTTGTGCACATTTTATGCCTCACCATTTTCCTTCAATTTTTATGAGAAATCTATAGATACCAAATACATGTACTGTTACACTTTATGAAGCATCTTGTGAGATTGTGTCAACTAAAACATTGGGAACAACATTTCCTTCGATATTGGACAGTAAAATTAGCTAGATTGCGGCTTCAAGTATTTTAGATATTTCATAATAGCAAAAATTTCACCTTAGAGTGATGGTAGGATAGTACTTTCTTCTGGGATATCTATGCTAACAATTGCTCTCCTTAAATTCTGTAGCATTATATGTAATTATAGTATTAGATTTTGTATAAATCATTTGTTGTATATGATGCGAAAGACAACAAAATTTCTTGATCGGTAAGTATTGGGGCTCCCTTGAGATCTGACATGTCCATTATATATTAGCAGATTTTTTTTTCTTATTAATTAATAAATTCTTAATCCAAATAATGAATTATGAGTCAAATAATTTTGGGTTACATATTCTTACACTGTACTTTGCAAGAGAAAGCATGTTTGCTTTATGTTTATCCCTAGTCACAATTCTTAATTTAACAGTTTAAGTTGCCTATATGTAATCTAAACACACACACGCACACACAACCATGTGACAAAATTTTGGCGAATTTGATTAAACTATCTCTTTTGTAGAAGATCCTCTATGGATGCATGTTGTTTCTAATCTACAGCGTTAATTTGATAGATTGATAAATGACCTCAAAAAATTGGCTGTAACTTGTCTCACCAAAACAAGTGGTAGAGCACTATTGCATTATTAATAGAGTAGCTCACATTTAACACGATTTTTTTGAACTTTTATCTTTTATAACATTTTTTTTTTAACTCATAACTATAGATTTGACTTGTTGTGACAATGCACACACTACATATCCACTCGACCAATGAACCAAACTTTTAGGGTTAAGCAATGGTAACATAAATATTTAAGGCGTGCTGGTAACACATGTGAACACACAAAAGATAAAGAAAGAAAGGCATTTTCATTGTCTAACATTTGTTTTTTATAGTACACACATGACACATGCATGTCAACATATATGTACATATAATTAAATTAATTCCCCTGCATTTATATATTCTGAGAAGTAATTTTTTTTTTTTTTTTTTTTTNACAAGTCACTTTATCAGTAACCACTAATATTATTATGGTAACAATGATAAAAATGTATAAAATACATGAGTTCGAAAACAATGATGATTGCAAGAGATGATAATAATAACTAACAAATAATATATGGATACAACCCTTCTTCTGTTTCATTTCTTATATTATTACACTAATGATTGTCAAGTGTATATAAAATTATATTGTTGCTATGAGACGGCCGTTCTTGGGCTGGTTCGTCATATTTTACGAAAAAACACCTACCCGTACTTTCAATTATCATAATCATGTTTATATTCTTTTTACACATAATATTTTTTTAATAGACACATGTTTGTGAAAGGAATATAACACCTAATAATTTGTTATTTTCCAAACAACAAACCTAGTATAAAGTTAGCACGTCAAGTTTCATAAAATATAACCCGAGCATAAAAATTGTATCTCTTTGTGATGAATTTAATTTATAATTATGTAACAACTGTTAGTGCATGGAATCATAATAACACACTAAGATTGATTTTCGCTCTTTTAATTATACTAGTAAAGGGCACGTTCGATGCATGTGGCGACGAATATTTTTGACCGATTAAGTTTAAAAGGATAAATTAATTAATTTATTAAATATATAATTGCCGAAACAAAATAAATGTTGAACAAATAAACTCATTATGTTATTTTTTAAGAAACATAATGATATCGTAACATAAAAAAGATTTAAATAACATACTACAACCCCAACAAAAATATATGAAAAATGAGTCCTTATTAAAAAAAAGCACTAAATAATAAGGATCTAATGTATGTTATAGATGCATGAGCTATTTTATTTATTTATGTTAGATTCAAGAGTAATTTACTTTCATTTTGGTTTTGACTTTCTCATAATAAACATTCATACTCATTGAAGGCAATACATCAATAGTAATGCAAATTTCTTCTTAATTAATTTGACAAAACGTCTGCTTTATTCAATAATTAAAAATATTTTACCCTAACATATATTCAAACTTCATGATTGTATAATTATTATAAGGTATTTCTACTAACAGTTCATAAATATCTATGTGAAATAACCAATTGTGTCATTAAATTCTTGATATTTTTTTAATAATTGTATAAACTACTATATTAATCTCTTTCTCTCTCTCTCTCTCTCTCTCTCCATATTAATAAATTAGTACATACCCATATGGTGGGAACGAATTTCATTTCTATATAAAAGTTGACTTTTTAAAATCATGTACCTTTTCGAAGACGGTAAATTATTTTTTGAAATCGTCACACATTACATGAAAGAACGTACTCTAAAATAATTTCGCATATGATCGAGAACATTACACGAATAAGATAACCTATCATTTGCAAATCATTGAATATTTTGGTAATTGCAATGATTTTAGAGTACTTTATCATAATACTTTCACATTCGTTCGGATTTGTAATATTAATGTTTATTAACTTATTTATTGCATTTATTGTCTAACTTTTTGCATCATACATAATGATTCGAAAATCTAAGATAAAGTTTATGGTTATATTATGATAAACAATGAGACAATATAGAGAAATATATCATTTGACAAAATACTTCAGATGAGAAGAATTTGAATTATATCATATTATGATACTCTTAGTCATCTGTGAACTTTATTATTATGAAGTCGTTATCTAAGTTTATGGTTATATTATGATAATATGGAATAATTACTTGTGACAACCAATTTCTAGCTAATAGAGAACATATATTTAAATGCTAGCAATAAAAAATAAGTAGTAATTTTAAAGTTTTTGTTTCTTGATATTGGTATTCATAATTTTCTAAGAAAATTCAAACTTTTTCTCACCCATTGCATTACTATTGTTTTATTTTATTCAAAAACAATATTTTATTTGCTGAAAAAATTAAAACACATTTATATGCATTGCGTTTTTCTTCTACGTTTTTTATTGTAATAATATATTTGGTAGAACTGTACTTTTTAATTGTTTATAAGGTTAAAAGGTTTTGGATTTCTTTTTTATTGTTTGATAAAATATTAGGTAACTAACTCATTTTCATATTC